AAAAGGGTGAATTTGAATTTGCTTTAATTTTTCATCCTATTTCCCTTTGTTTTCTCTAACTTTCTTTTCTGGCTCTCAGGATGAAAGTTTTTGTTTGGCTCTCTCCGTCCGTGTCATTCCTTCTCTATTTTGTTCTAGCAACTAATGAGGTTAGGCAGCTTATAGTTTCATTACCATAAGTGGCCAAGTTTAACTCAAACTAATCTTGCTTAGCCTCCAAGGAAGAGATTTTACTGAGTAATTGTAGGTGGACGATATTAGTTTAACTTATGCAACTCATTTCTTGTTTCCTAAATCATTTAAGCGTTCAATTCTCGAGTCCAAAAGGATGAATTTTAATTCCCTTTAATTTTCATTCTACTTCCCTTTCTCTTCTCTAACCTTTTCCTTCTAGCTCTCAAGAAGAAAGTTTCTCGCTAACTCTCCCCGTCCTTCTCCAGGCTTCTCCCTTTTTTTCTAAGAACTAATTAGCTTAGGCAACTAATAGTTTCTTTAGCTTAAGTGGCCGAGTTTAACTCAAACTAATCTTGATTAGCCTCCAAGAAAGAGATTACAACGAATAATGGTAGCTTAAAAATATTAGTTTAGCTTAAGCACCTCATTTAAGGTTTTGCAAATCATCTAAGTGTTCAAAGGTTGAATCTGAAGTCACTTTAATTTTCATCCACTTTCCCTTTATGTTCTCTAGCTTTTTCTCTTCTACCACTCGAGAAGAAAATTTCTCTCTTACTCCCCCATCCTTCTCCATCCTTCTCTCTTTGGTTCTAGGAACAAATTACCTTAGGCAACTATTAGTTTTATTAGCTTAAGTGGCAAAGTTTAACTCAAACTAATCTTGCTTAGCCTCCAAGAAAGAGAATTTACTGTGTAATTGCAGCTTAACGATATCACATTAACTTAAGCAACTCGTTTAATGTTTTCTAAATCACCTAAGTGTTCAATTCTCAAGTCCAGAAGGACGAATTTGAATTCTCTTTAATTTTCATCCTATTGCCCTTTGTTTTCTCTAACTTTCTTTTCTAACTCTCAGGAAGAATGTTTCTCTAAAACTCCCTCCGTGCTTCTCCATCCATCTCCGTTTTGTTCTCCGAACAAATTAGGTTAGGTGACCAAGTTTCATTGGCTTAAGTGGCAAAGTTTAACTCAAACTAATCTTGTTTAGCCTCCAAGAAAGAGATTATGCTGAGTAATTGTAACTTAATGATATTTGTTTAACTTAAGCACCTCATTTAATGTTTTCCAAATGAATGAATTTGAATTCCCTTTAATTTTCATCCTATTTCCCTTTCTTTTCTCTAACATTCTCTTCTAGTTCACATGTAGAATGCTTCTCTCTAACTCTCTCTATCCTTTTCCATCCTTCTCTCTTTTGTTCTACGAACTAATTAGCTAAGGCAATTAATAGTTTCAGCAGCTTAAGTGGCCAAGCTTGACTCAAACTAATCTTGCTTAGCTTCCAAGAAAGAGATTATACTGAGTAATTGTAGACTAATGATATTAGTTTAACTTAAGCACCTCATTTTTATTCACCCAAAAAAAAAGCACCTCATTTAAGGTTTTGTCAATCACTCAAGTGTTCAATTCTCAAGTCCAGAAGGTTGAATTTGAAGTCGCTTTAATTTTCATCATATTTCCCTTTCTTTTCTCCAACTTTCATTTCTAGTTCTCAAGAAGAAAGTTTTGCCCTAACTCTCTCTGTATTTCTCCATCCATCTCTCTTTTCTTCTAGGAACTAATCACCTTTGGCAACTATTAGTTTCATTAGCTTAAGAGGCCAAGTTTAACTCAAACTAATCTAGCTTAACCTCCAAGAAAGAGAATTTACTGAGTAATTGTAGCTTAACGATATTGTTTAACTCATTTCATGTTTTCTAAATCGCTTAAGTGTTCAATTCGCAAGTCCAAAAGGATGAATTTGAATACACTTTAACTTTCATCTTATTTCCCTTTCTTTTCTCTAAATTTCTATCCTACCACTCAAGATGAAAGTTTTTCTCTCACTCTCTCCGTCCTTCTCCAACCTTCTCCCTTTTGTTCTAGGAACGAATTAGCTTAGGCAGCTATAAGCTTCATTAGCTTAAGTGGCCAAGTTTAACTCAAACTAATCTTTCTTAGCCTCCAAGAAAGAGACTTTACTGAGTAATTGTAGTTTCGCGATATTAGTTTAACTTAAGCAACTCATTTCATGTTTTCTAAGTTGCCTAAGTGTTCAATTCTCAAGTCAAAAAGAATGAATTTAAATTTCCTTTAAATTTCATCGTGTTTCCCTTTCTTTTCTCTAACTTTCTCTTCCATCTCCCAAGAAGAAAGTTTCTCTCTAATTCTTTAAGGTTTGTAAATCATCTCACTTAAGGTTTTGTTTAATTCTCAAGTCCATATCGATGAATTTGAATTCGCTTTAATTTTGATCCTATTTTCCTTTCTTTTCTCTGACTTTCTCTTCAACCACTCGAGAAGAAAATTTCTCTCTAAGTCCCCTACTCTTCTCCATCCTTCTCTCTTTTGTTCTAAGAACTAATTAGCTCAGGCAACTATTAGATTCATTACCTTAAGTGGCCAAGTTTAACTCAAACTCATCTTGCTTAGCCTCTAAGAAAGAGAATTAATTGAGTAATTGTAGCTTAGCGACATTACTTTAACTTAAGCAACTCATTTAATGTTTTCTAAATTAGCTAAGTGTTCAATTCTAAAGTCCAAAAGGATGAATATGAATTCAATTTAATTTTTATCCTATTTTCCCTTCTTTTCTCTAACGTTCCCTTCTAGTTCTCAAGAAGAAAGCTTCTCTCAAACTCTCTCCGTCCTTCTCCACCCTCTCTTTTGTTCTAATAACTAATTAGTTTAGGCAAATAATAGTTTCATTTGCTTAAGTGGCCAATCTTGGTTAGCTTCCAACAAAGAGGAATTACAGAGTAATTCTTAACGATATTAGTTAACTCACCTCAGTTAATGTTTTCTAAATCACCTAAGTGTTCAATTCTCAAGTCCAGAAGGATGAATTTGAATTTCCTTTAATTTTCATTCTATTTTTTCTAGCTCTCCAAAAGAAAGTTTCTTTTTAACTCCCTCCGTCCTTCTCCATCCTTCTCTATTTTGTTCTTGGAACTAATTAGGTTAGGCAACAAATAGCTTCATTAGCTTAAGTGGCCAAGTTTGACTCAAACTATTTCATTGACTAATTGTTGCTTAAAGAAATTAGTTTCACTTAAGCAACTAATTTCATGTTTTCTAAATCACCTAAGTGTTCAATTCTAAACTCCAAAAGGATGAATTTGAATTCAATTCAATTTTCATTCTATTTCTCTTTCTCTTCTCTAACTTTCCCTTCTAGCTCTCAAGAAGAAATTTTCTCTCTAACTCTCTCTATCCTTCTCCAACCTTCTCTCTTTTGTTCTAGGAACTAATTAGCTTAGGCAACTAATAGTTTCATTAGCTTAAGTGGCCAAGTTTAACTCAAACTAATCTCGCTTAGCCTCCAAGAAAGAGATTTTACTGAGTAACTGTGGCTTAACGATATTAGTTTAACTTAAGCACCACATTTAAGGTTTTGTAAATCACCTAGGTATTCAATTCTCAAGTTCAAAAGGATGAAATTGTATTCACTTTAATTTTTATTCTATTTCCCTTTCTTTTCACTAACATTTTCTGTTTTACCACTCGAGAAGAAAATTTCTCTCTAACTCCCCGGTCCTTCACCATCCTTCTCTCTTGTTCCAAGATGTAATTAACTTAGGCGACTTTTAGTTTCATTAGCTTAAGTGACCAAGTTTAACTCAAACTCATCTTGCCTAGCCTCCAAGAAAGAGAATTTACTGGGTTATTATAGCATAACAATATTACTTTAACTTAAGCAACTCATTTACTCTTTTCTAAATCACCTAAGTGTTCAATTCTCGAGTCCAAAAGGATGAATTTGAATTCCCTTTAATTTCTATCCTATTTCCCTTTGTTTTCTCTAACTTTCTCTTCTAGCTCTCTTTTTGGGTGAATAAGACATAAATAAAAACAGAAGAATATACAACGATTACAAGGGGCATGCCCCAGGCCCTACAGAGCTATACAAAAGCTAGCCAAGAAAAAAGCATAACTGAATAAAGGAACCATACGCAAAATGTTCAAAACCTATCTCAAAGGGAAATAGTAATTGAACAAAAGCGAAGCAGCTAACAACGTCCAATAAAAACAATAAGCTAGTAAAGGTCCAGCCAATAAAAGTCCAGCCATCCAAGATACCAAAAGAATAGCAACCAATGTTGCGCAACCAGACATCAACGACCCCAAACCAGCATAGTCTTGAAGCATCCTCATGGAGTGTAACAAAAAGCCTAAAGTGTGCTGGAGACAATAAACTGATGTATGCATCCAGTAGCTGGTAATGAGAAACAAAGTATAGTCTCTAGTACATCCCACTAGAGTAGGCCAAAAAAAGTATATTGTTATAATAGTTATAGAGCAGAAAATTAAAAATAGCTTTTGATCATTCAGAGTTTTCCGGACGGCGCTTACAGCAGCTAGACCCATCGACCCATTCCTCACACTAGACGACTTCGGAGTTTCCAATGGCAGCTTGAAATAACAGTCCCTGTTTGAGCAATGTTGAACTGTATGTCCTAGACAATATAGAAGGACCTACTCGGTAAGCAAAGATAGATAGAAACCATGATTAGTGAGACCCAATGTAGAATTACATGGTATACACACATTATTTGGGCTCACCCCACTCAACCCATAATATAAGACCCCACCACACTCGGAATAAGCTTCCTTAACCTGCACATAAAAAGATACAATATATAAAATGGTAAGCTTGTAAAACATATAGATCTTAATTTCACTCAACCCACAAAAGTTCAAGGAAATTGTGACTATTTGTCTCACCACACTCAACCCATATATAATATCAATCTTCATAAAAACACCCCTACACAGGCAGCAGCTTATTAGATAAACACTCATTATCATACTCACAACCACTCAACTCACATTATACTGAACTCACATCACTCAGCAGCCCTCCCATCACTGCAAGGATGGGGCTTCATGATGGATTTAGGAAGGTTCCATTGAGAGAGGAACCAATTATCACCTGTTGCAATAGGAATGTTGCTAATAGATAGCATTCTACTTCTAACCATTAGCACAATAGATTTAATGATAACCTCAACAGGTTTAAATTCTTTGTTAAAAATTCTATTATTCCTTTCAATCCAAACATAATACACAGTACAAAGAAAGGAGAGTCTAGTGATGATTGATTTCATAGACTTTCCTTTACTCTCTCTGTTGACAATTGTAACAATCTCAGGCCAGGGGACCTTTTGCCATTGAACATTGCATTTACTTTGCATTGCATGCCAAATTCTGTATGTAAAGTTGCAATCAAAGAATAGATGTGGACGACTTTCATCATAGTCAAGGCAAAAAGGACAGGTTGAGCTAGAAGAAATACCAAATAATTGGAGTCTATCACTTGTGTTCAACCTACCATAGATAGCCATCCAAACAACGAAACTGACTTTAGGACTTGTGGAATGGCCCCAGACCAAATTGTACCAAGGAACAGTATCATGTTTGTTTCTCCACAACTCCCAAGCAGATTTAATAGTGAAAACACCATCAGAGTTTAAGAACCAAATTGCTTTGTCCACAGCCAAAGAATTAGGAAGACAATTGTTAGGGGTTTGGGAAGTTAGTTCCCTAAGATCCCAAGAGTTAGGAAAAGGCCATTTCCAAGAACCCCCTATAATAATCTGACTAAATTTGGAATCCCCATTTAAACTAGAGTCATATATGATTCTATCACCATATCTATCCCAATGAGGGCCTAAATGATGCCAGTTATCATACCACAAAAATGTATTCTGACCATTACCAATCCTATGTCTAATAAGAGGGTAAATAACAGACCTAAGAGAGAGGATTTTCCTCCAGACCCAAGAAGGGTCACTAGGTGTTTTAATTTTCCAAAAGCACTTACCCTTAATAAGATAAGATTTGACCCACTGGCACCACATAGATTTTTCCCCACTAGAAAAAAGGAACCAAACATGTTTCACAATGGCAACCTTATTCCAACCCGCCATAGATTTAAAACCCAGACCACCCCTCTTTTTTAGGTGTGCAAATTTTATCCTAAGCAATCTTCGCACCATGTTTCCTAAGATCAGTACCAGACCATAGAAAGGATCTAAGAAGACTCTCAATCTCCTTAATAACTTTCTTAGATAAAATGAATAGTGATGACCAATAAACTTGCATTGAAAACAAGATGGTTTGGATAAGCTGGGCCCTACCAGCATAAGAGAGAAGTTTGTTGGTCCAACTACTAATCCTCTTGGTGATCCTGTCAACAAGTTGTTTACAATCAGAGGCTCTAAACTTTGTAGTGATGAGGGGTACTCCAAGGTGTTTGACAGGTAAAGTCTCCTCAGTAAAAGTGGCAATTTGAAGAATATTAGCCCTCAACTCCTTATTACAGCCAGAGAAAAAAATATTGCTCTTGCTAGGATTGGGGTTAAGGCCAGAAAGAGAGCTGAACTCCTCCAAGCCATCCATAATCATCCGAACAGTGTTAACATCACCTTTACTGAAAATCATAAGATCATCAGCAAAGCAAAGGTTCACTATTCTAGTTTTCTTGCATCTCCAATGAAATTTAAAGAGAGGAAGCTTAGATTTTTCATCCAAAATCCTAGCCAGGACCTCCATAGCCAAAACAAAAAAGATAAGGAGACATGGGATCTCCTTGCCTAAGACCTCTAGCCCCTTTAAAATAGCCATGAAGGCTACCATTAATACAGATGGAAAATGAGGGACTAGTCATACAAGCTTTGATCCGAGAGATCATAGTTTGGGGAAAGCCCATTGCAGTAAGAATATCAATGATGAACTCCCATCTAACCATATCATAGGCTTTCATTATATCAACTTTCATTACACACTTAGGAACATGTGAGTTCTTATGATAACCTCTCATAATCTCCTGAGATAGAAAAATGTTATTCGAAATTCTCCTCTCCTGCACAAATGCAGATTGGACAGGATCAATAAGATCATGGAGGACCACCTTAATTCTGTTTGCAATAATCTTAGCAATGCACTTATAGATTGTATTGCAACAGGAAATAGGTCTATAGTCCCCAACTCTCACCGAGTTAGGAATCTTATGAATAAGAGCAATGGTAGTATTGTTGATTTCAGAAAAGAGTTTCCCAGATTCAAAGAAAGCTCTTATAGCCTGGGTAACATCTTTACCAACAACATTCCAAGTACTCTTAAAGAAACCGGCTGAAAATCCATCAGGGCCAAGGGCCTTATTAGCTTTTAAAGACCAGAAGACATCCTTAATCTCCTTGTCAGAGACAGGGCTAGCCATCTTAATAGCTTGATCAGGAGTGACTCTAGATTTGATCAGATCTTGAATTCTACTAGAGCTTCTATACTGGTTCTGGGAGGGAGTGCCTAAAAGCTTAGAAAAATAATCAATAAAAGCTTTATGAACCTCCTCAGGTTTGGACGAAACCCTACCACCCTCCATCTCAACATTAAGAATTTTACCTCTATTAATGTTACTCTTCACAGATCTGAAGAAAAACCTACTGTTTTTGTCTCCCAGACCAAGCCATTAGACTTTAGACTTTTGGTGGGCCAAACTCTCCACGACAGCACTAAGATCCACATACTTTTTAAAAAGACTCCTTTCAAGGAGTTGAAAAGAGCTATTACTAGGATCTTTGTCTAATTTCCATTGAATAAAGTTTAACTTAATTAAAAGAGCTATTACTATTACTAGCACTCTGGAATAAAGTTTCTCCCTAACTCTCTCTGTCCTCCGCCCTTCTCTCTTTTGTTCTAGGAACTAATTACCTTTAACAACTAATAGTTTCATGACCATTAAGTGGACAAGTTTAACCCAAACTCATCTTGCTTAGCCTCCAAGAAAGATATTTTACTGACTAATTATAGCTTAACAATATTACTTTAACTTAAGCACCTCATTTAAGGTTTTATAAATCACCTGAGCGTTCAATTCTCAAGTCCCAAAAGGATGAATTCGAATTTGCATTTATTTTCAACCTATTTCCCTTTGTTTTCTCTAACATTCTCTCCTAGCTCTCAGGAAGAAAGTTTCTCTCTGACTCTCTCTGTCCTTCTCCATCCTTTTCTATTTTGTTCTTAGGAACTAATTTTGTTAGGCAACTAATAGTTTCATTAGCTAAACTGGCCAAGTTTAACTCAAACTGATATTGCTTAGCCTCCAAGAAAGAGACTTTACTGAGTAATTGTAGCCTCACGATATTAGTTTAACTTAAGCAAATCATTTCATGTTTTCTAAGTCACCTAAGTGTTCAATTCTCAAGTCAAAAAGAATGAATTTAAATTTCCCTTAAATTTCATCGTATTTCCCTTTCTTTTCTCTAACTTTCTCTTCCAGCTCTCAAGAAGAAAGTTTCTCTCTAACTCTATCCGTCCTTCTCCAACCTTATGTCTTTTGTTCTAGGAACAAATTAGCTGAGGCAACTTATAGTCTCATTAGCTTGAGTGGCCAACTTTAACTCAAACTAATCTGGCTTAGCCTCCGGGAAGAGATTTTACAGAGTAATTGTAGCTTAACGATATAAATTTAACTTAAGCACCTTATTTAAGGTTTTCTAAAACAGCTAGGTGTTCAATTCTAAAGTATAAAATGACAAACAATTCCCTTTAATTTTCATATTACTTCCCCTTCTTTGCTCTAAGTTCTCTTCTAGCTCTCTGGAAGAAAGTTTCTCTCTAACTCTCTCTGTCATTTTCCATCATTCTCTCTTTTGCTCTGGGAACTAATTAGCTTAGGCAACTAACAGTTTCATTAGCTTAAATGGCAAAGTTTAACTAAAACTAATCTTGCTTAGCCTCAAAGAAAAAGAATTTACATAGTAATTGTAGCTTAACGATATTAGTTTAACTTAAGCACCTGATTTAAGGTTTTCTAAATCAGCTAAGTATTCAGTTCTCAAGTTCAAAAGGATGAATTTGAATTCCCTTTAATTTTCATCCTACTTCGCATTGTTTTCTCTAACTTTCTCTTTTAGCTCTCTGGAAGAAAGTTTCTCTCTAACTCTCTATGTCATTCTCCATCCTTCTATATTTTGTTCTAGGAACTAATTATGTTAGCCAACTAATAGTTTCATTAGCTTAAATGGGAAAGTTTAACTCAAACTAATCTTGCTTAGCCTCCAAGAATGAGATTCTGCTAGTCAATTGTAGCTTAACGATATTAATTGAACTCAGGCACCTCGTTTAATGTTTTCGAAATGGATGACTTTGAGCTCCCTTTAATTTTAATCCTTTTCCCCTTTCTTTTCTCCAACTCTCTCTTCTGGTTCTCGTGTAGAATGTTTTCTCTCTAACTCTCTCCGTCCTTCTCCATCCATCTCTCTTTTGTTCTAGGAACTAATTGGCTTAGGCAATTAATAGTTTCATTAGCTTAAGTGGCCAAGTTCAACTCAAACTAATTTGATCACCTCCAAGAAAAAGAATTTATTGAGTAATTGTAGCCTAACAATATTAGTTTAAGTTAAACACCTCATTTACGGTTTTGCAAATCACCCAAGTGTTCTAATCCCATGCCCAAAAGGATGATTTTGAATTCGCTTAAATTTTCATCCTATTTCCCTTTTCTTTTCTCTTACTTTCTTTTCTAACTCTCAAGAAGAAAATTTTTGTCTAACTCTCTCCGTCGTTCTCCCTCGTTCTCTCTTTTATTCAAGGAACTAATAAGTTTCGGCGACTAATAGTTTCATCAGCATAAGTGGCCAAGTTCAACCCAAACTAATCTTTCTTAGCCTCCAAAAAATGGGAATTTACTCAGTAATTGTAGCTTAACGATATTACTTTAACTTAAGAAACTCATTTAATGTTTTCCAAATCACCTAAGTGTTCAATTCTCAAGTCCAAAAAGGTGAATTTGAATTCGCTTTAATTTTTCATCCCATTTCCCTTTGTTTTCTCTAACTTTCTCTTCTAGCTCTCAACATGAAAGATTCTCTCTGACTCTCTCCGTCCGTGTCATTCCTTCTCTATTTTGTTCTTGCAACTAATTAGGTTAGGCAGCTTATAGTTTCATTACCATAAGTGGCAAAGTTTAACTCAAACTAATCTTGCTTAGCCTCCAAGGAAGAGATTTTATTAAGTAATTGTAGGTGGACGATATTAGTTTAACTTATGCAACTCATTTCTTGTTTCCTAAATCATTTAAGCGTTCAATTCTCAAGTCCAAAAGGATGAATTTTAATTCCCTTTAATTTTCATTCTACTTCCCTTTCTCTTCTCTAACCTTTTCCTTCTAGCTCTTAAGAAGAAAGTTTCTCGCTAACTCTCCCCGTCCTTCTCCAGCTTCTCCCTTTTTTTCTAAGAACTAATTAGCTTAGGCAACTAATAGTTTCTTTAGCTTAAGTGGCCGAGTTTAACTCAAACTAATCTTGATTAGCCTCCAAGAAAGAGATTACAACGAATAATGGTAGCTTAAAAATATTAGTTTAGCTTAAGCACCTCATTTAAGGTTTTGTAAATCACCTAAGTGTTCAAAGGTTGAATCTGAAGTCGCTTTAATTTTCATCCACTTTCCCTTTATGTTCTCTAGCTTTTTCTCTTCTACCACTCGAGAAGAAAATTTCTCTCTTACTCCCCGGTCCTTCTCCATCCTTCTCTCTTTGGTTCTAGGAACAAATTACCTTAGGCAACTATTAGTTTTATTAGCTTAAGTGGCAAAGTTTAACTCAAACTAATCTTGCTTAACCTCCAAGAAAGAGAATTTATTGTGTAATTGCAGCATAACGATATCACATTAACTTAAGCAACTCGTTTAATGTTTTCTAAATCACCTAAGTGTTCAATTCTCAAGTCCAAAAGGACGAATTTGAATTCTCTTTAATTTTCATCCTATTGCCCTTTGTTTTCTCTAACTTTCTTTTCTAACTCTCAGGAAGAATGTTTCTCTAAAACTCCCTCCGTGCTTCTCCACCCATCTTCGTTTTGTTCTCCAAACAAATTAGGTTAGGTGACCAAGTTTCATTAGCTTAAGTGGCAAAGTTTAACTCAAAAT